TGTATATATATATATAATATTATATATTATATATTATATATATTGTTGTCCTTTGCAGGAAAAGTTACATGAAGGGCATGAGATAGCCTTATCCGTGTTGTCTTACATTGGTGGAACGCTGTCAATCATCGGATGTCTCTTGTCAATCTTCATTTTTGAATTCTTCAAGTATGTACGCACAGTTTCATTTCAACTAAGGGATTTTATACAATTTTGGATTTGATATAGGCCTAGTTGATAGAGTTAAGCTAAAGTGCTAACATCTACCCAAAATATGAAAAAATTAAATAATAAGCATTTGGAGTTCATATTTGGTCCAAACATCGATCACAGTAAACCAAAATTTTTCGAGGGCATATTTGAGGTCAAAGGTCACATAATTTGCATATTAATAGCATTTTAGACAAAAAAATATGTAAAAGATCTGACAGTTTTTCTCCTTCTTGGGTTTTTTTTAATTCTTTTTCACATATGTAAATATATGATACAGAATTATGGTAGCAAAGAGAAAATTACAAATACTCTCATAGCTTATGAAATATAATCTTTTAATAAAAATAATTTGTTTTCTAGAAAAATCGCATATTTATTTCTAAAGTGGCCTACACAAATTATATACATAAAAGCAAACTAATGTGGAAATTTAACTCTGTTTGTTCAAGGCATTACAGAGGTATGAGGTCAGAAAGTCAAAATTTTACGAACCTGAGAAAGTCAAGGTCAAAGTTTGTATTTTATAAGGTCAATGCTTGTACTTTATTGTGATTACTGAATATATTATATTTCATTTTTCTAATGATTGAAAAAAATATCATTCTAAAAGTTTTCAAGGTAGTTAGTATAGGCCTAATAGTTAAAAATACCAAATCCATCAAAATATAAAAATTGTTGGAGATTTTGCTAAAATTAACAAATTATGGGGTAGAGGTAAGCCTGAGGTTTCCATACAATCACTACACACTATCGCCAACAGCTGTCGGTGATGGTGATTGATCGGTCAGATCGGGGACTGATACACAGTACAACAATTGCTCTGAAAAAACTGTAGCGACATATTGTAGGGATTTTAAGAAAACCAGGCTTATGTTAAGGTAAATATTACTGCTATTGAGAGTGTGAGACCATGCTTAATTCCAGGTTCTCACTAATGTTTAGATTCTCTGCTGTAAACACATGGAATTGGAATTGTTTTACTTGATCCTATGTTTGAACCCTTGGCAGGGTCGGTAAAACCCGCAGAGCCAGAAGATTTTTGTGCTTTATGGTAGGGGTGGCACCACCGAGTGCCGGGGGTCAGGGCCCCCTCAAAGGGAGAATAACCAGAAAAAATCATATGTATTTTATACATATTAGTAGACTCTAAAATTGATTAAATAAGCCTTTGAAACCCCTAAATTGTCATATTTTTCGGGGGCATCGCCCCTGGAACACTTTCGGGAGATTTTGAGCGACGCCGACCACGCCCACTTATTTCGTCGGGGACATCGCCCCCCCCCCCCCACCACCCTTTCCGGGAAAATCATGGCGCCACCCTTGCTTTATGGGCCTAAATAATGCTATACGATTGTAATATGCAAACAACAGAGGGTCAAAAACAACATTCATGTTATCAACACATAATATGCTACTTCTTGAAAATAGATTGAAGTCGGATCGTATCAGAGTGCATGAGAATCTTTCCGGGGCCATAGCTGCTAGTCTTGTAGTCTTTCTTGTGGGAATTGACAGGACAGAGAACGTCGTAAGTAAATCTTTGATTTGAAAAAAATATGGATAAGGGGGGTATAATTTGTATCCATTTTTTCCTTTCTTTATTTAGGGCCATTTTTGATGTATCGACTTGTAATTATAGCAGTTATTTTACACTGTAATGTATTTCACCTGTAATGTAAACCTGTTGTGTTTTCTTTACATCACGATTGAAATCGTTGTGTTGTAGTAGGCCTATGGTTAAGTTTGATGTTGTAATACTGTTAATACTATACTGTAAAAACATTTATTGTTACTACAGTTACTGTTAGTACAGTTATTGTTACTACAATATTTATTATTTTACATTGATTTTAAATTAAATGGAATGTATGCTTTGTTAATAGTTTTACAATTTTATTTTAAAATAATGTATTTTTTGGCGATTATTCGATACGTAACTTTTTAATATCTTTAATATTTTTGATTAAAAAGAAATTGAGATTAAATGATATGTATGCTTTGTTGATAGTTTTACAATTTCATTGTAAAATAATGTATTTTTGGAATTTGTTCAATACGTTACTGTTTAAAATTCTTAATATTTTATGCTTTGTTGATGTTTTACCATTTTATTGGAGATCTTGATTCTTAAATTTTTGAAATATTTGTCTGTATTACCTAAATTGTATATTGTTTAATGTGGACTATATTTTCATTGTAATTATTGTGCAGGACCATTGTTAGAAACAGGCATTAACATCTGCCTGAAAATGTATCCTGGGTAAAAATGTTTTAGATAAAAATAAAATAAAAAATAAATACAGTCACAGTTACGTTACTGTTACCACCTTAATACCATTTAAAAAAATCATTATTATCATTTAACAGTATGTCTGTAAGTCGTTCGCAATTCTTCTGCACTTCCTCTTGACGGCGATGTTCATGTGGATGTTGGTGGAGGGTATCCATTTGTATTTGGCATTAGTCAAAGTTTTTGGAACATCCAGCCACATCAAAAAATATCTTGTCCTAGGATGGGGTAAGTTCGACTTCTATAAATGATAATTCCACTGACAATGAACATTCATTATAATTATATTTACTTTATGAAATGAAAAAAAAACTTGGTTTCAGTTCCCATATGACATTCTGTGACGCTGCATTACGCTTATTCCGTACTCTGAACACACCATTTGCACATTAAATGTCAAACCATGCGTTTTATTCTTGAAAATGTTCTAATAAAGAACGAAACGTAGAATCAATTATGGCCTCACGTCTGTCATTTTTTGGAGTCACCATACTAATATTATACGTTTAAAGCATAACCCAAAAGTCGTTTAAAAGCATATTTACTAGCTCGCACTTTGTGAACAAATAAATGTACGATGCATTACTTTTGTCAACTCATGTCTTGTAATGGCTACTATTTAAAATTATATTACTTCAATTAGTTAGATCCTAAAATACCAACATTTGGGCGGCATGATATGACGTTATTCAATGCATATTTAATGTTTTTCGGACAGGTGTTCCGCTGGTAGTGGTCGGAATCTCTGTCGGTGTATTCTTTGACAATTATGGGTCTGATACTAAGTAAGTTTATGCTTATTTTTATGTCTCTATAACCCCATAGGCATATAATAAGTCTGATGGCTTTATGTCACGTGTACCAGACTGAATCATGTGAACTTTAATCAGTACAAAACATCATTCGAGTTTCACTACAGTCTTCAGAACATTTAGTTGGTTATCCATTGCCGCACACTGAATAATATCAAAACCATAAATAAGAAACTCGAATACAAACCAGTCTGAATGCGGACCAGTGTTTTAGAGGACATAAGGAGTGTGTTGGGGTTTTTCTTTTCAAAAAAAATCAAAAGCATTCACGCGTTTAGCTTATACAAAAATACATATAATTGTGCTGCTCGCTGTTTTTAGAATTCTTGATCCAAAAGTGAATCCTGGTTGGTAGCCTAATAAATGTCGGAAACCTTAGAATCGAAAAGTAACAAACCCAAGAATAATTTCATACGTTTTTATATTTTTTTAGGTGTTGGTTATCAACTGAAATGCTTCTCATTGTATTTGTTCCAACCGTTGCTCTCGTGGTCATTGTAAGTTATATCAGAAGTAATTTTATGTTCCTCGGTATTTTGTAGATTAACCCGGGGGGAGGCGGATTGGCGCAGCGTGATCTGTTTGATTTCCAGACCTCGAGGTCTAATCTCGTCCAGCAATGCATAGATATCCCAGCTTGCATCGTAGTAAAAGTGGCTTATTGTTATGTTTCAGCCTTAGATGCAGGTAGGCTCTGGCCGATGGTATGAAATTTATTTGATTAGCTAATTTGAAAACTCTTGGATAGGGACACCTGAATTAACTATTGTTCTTTATTGCACTATATACAAAAAAAAAGCTGATATATGCTGTATCTTTTAAAAAGGATGGCTACATGAAGTGGGCCATGTTTAATATGATGAATAGCAAAGTAGCTATCAAAGAATTATGTAGCCAGTCGAGTGGGTAAGGCAGGGGACCGTAACCTATCGCAAAACATCGGCAGGCTCGCTCATGTTTCTGGTGGTGTAACAAGTCTTTTCAGATAAGAACTGTAGTGCACATCAACTCTAGGTGAATACCTGGGGATTCCGGTGGTCTAGTTCATTCCCTGCCGTGGACTTGCCTTGTGGCTGGCCCTGAAATTTGGGACTCTTATGGGAGCAAGTTTCTGAAATTAGTTAAGGCCAACTCAGACAGCGTCCGCCGACGCAGCCCGACCCGATTTATCGTCGGGGACAGTCTTAAGCCGTCGTGAAAAATATTAAACATGTTTAATATTCTACGCGTACTGCCCCCGATGCAAACATCGCGTCTGCGTTTAACTCACACAGACCCGACGCGACAACAAATCGCGTCGGGCTGCGTCGTACGACGCTGTCTGAGTTGGCCTTAAGTCTAATGAGTCCATACCAACTATGTAAATCGATGAGAATTATGTTATCTCCAGTCTATGGAAGTAGGCCTGTAATTTTGGTCTGCTGTTGTCATTCAATGAGCTTGACCAACACTATTTAATATACGCTTAGATGTTGTTGCGACTGTTTCCTTAAATTATACCTCTGTTCTTATCTACAGCTGAATACTGCCGTGTTGATCATTGTTGTCCGCGTGATGCTGCACTCTCTTTCTGCTAAAGACAAGATCAAGGGTAACAGTCAAGATCAGGAAACGTCACAAATCAAGTAAGTTTCAAATGTCTTCAAAGAGATTCCATATGGTTTATTCGCGTCGGCGATTAGTTATACAAACATTATGAATGCGTCTTTCACGACAGAGTTCTACCATTATATTTTTTATAACCATTTCAAATAAAATCATCCTGAACTCTTCGTCAGTAATTGGCAATTATTCAGTACGTATTATACGCATCTTGATCTTGATATTTGAAATCATTTACCTTTTACAGAACCAGCTTGAAAGCAGCTCTGGTTCTGCTACCGTTGCTCGGCCTCACTTGGGTTTTTGGTTTCTTGTCAGTGAATAAATATACTATTATATTCACCTATTTATTTGCTATATGTAACTCAATTCAGGTAAGTTTACGAATTTACATTCCGAAGTTGTTGGGTGACAGACATTTCGTGACTTGAAGTTTTCGTAACTCTGTCGCCATTTTGTAACAACATTGTAAGTTACCAAATATCCATTGCAGAATCACGAGAAGTTGCGTTACTATAAGTCCGAATTCAGAAATGTCGACAACCTCAGGAGAGATGTCGATGGGCGGGGTTTAATCTTTCGTTAAAGCTAAATTAACAATTTGAAATGAAGTTTATTTTAGAAGTCAATTTGGAATAAGATAGGATATTATACTTTTTAAAGTGTGTAACTTTATATTAAGGTTGAAATGATTTCTAAAACAAAAACGATATTAAATGCTGTAAATGAATTGACAAATGAATACCCTGTGTGTGTTGTAACGTATTTTCGTTTTCCTTTTATCAACAGGGAGTGATCTTCTTCTTGTTTCATTGCCTAATGAACGTTGAAGTTAGTAAAAAATGTTTATTACTAATTTAGATTTGTATACCCAACCTATAATCTTTGTAACCAATTGCATGTGGTAAATAGAAAAATGCGCTGAATTAATAGGAAATAATGTTACGATCGTATCATAGCCCTTCAACAAAATGTTTATTGTATTTGTCGTTTAAAACTCTTAAACGATGGCGCATACATTGGTCTCTGTGTATCTCTTTGTGCGTTTGTGGGATAACACGTACGTTAGTGGGATAACACTTTTTTTGGAACGAGCACGTATTCATGTCCCTGTTCTGGTCACTTGCTAAGTTCGGTTAGTACTTTGGAGAAAGGTCCACTATCTAATTAAATTGGGTCTACTACAGACGCTTAATCATTTTCACAGGTGAAGAAGGCTTATCAGCGTCGCTACCGTAAGTCAATGGCCACTTCAAGCAGCATGAGTACTACGACAACGTCACGAGTGAACCAACCAGGTTATCGTCGCCCATCAGATCTTGTCAAACGTCGCACGTCTGTCTCCAGCCAAGAGTCGGTTCGTATAGCTTATACAGGTTCGCCTTTTGGAGAGGTGTCGTAGAAATGGATCATGGAGTTTTGAAATTCTACATAACACCTCATTTGGCAAAGTCAAAAATATGCACTGTTTACCCAACTGTAAAACCTTTTACTAATGTTGATATCAATTATGATGGTAGTCGTGATGATGATGGTGGTGCTGCTGCTGAGGATGATGTTGATGACATTATGTGGCTATCTGGCTTCCACAAGTTGTATACCCAAGTTTCATACACAAATAAATAAAATAAATAATATTAAACCTAACTCGTTTCCTATCCTGCTCGATTTTCACTATTCCTTGGTTTATTGTTATAGGTAGGCTAGGCCTATGTTTTTATAAGCCAGATTTGTGTCGAATAACATGAACCGGTCAACCAGACTTTCATGAAAAGTAAAACAAAACGCAAGACGAAAGCAACAGAGTAACAACATTATTGCCCTTAGCCTAGTAATCGGAAAGGTAATTTAAGTTTATTTTTTATGTTTTCATATTTTCTGGTTTATGCTGCAGTACGCATACGACAACCCGGTTGCCGATACAACTTTCGACGGGAAAACAGTGAAACGTAACAACGAGGAGAATGAACTGAAGAAGAAAGCTCTGGTACGTATAACCTCAAATAAATTATATTATTATCTCAATAGAAAAACAAAGTGGCATTACAGATTGGTGGTTTTGAGCGTTAAGTTTGCAAGCGGAGTGAGCAAACAGACGCTGGGGGCCAGGAGGTTTGAGTAGGGCCCCGGTAGGGGTCCATGGGTAAAGGCCCTGATGGCACCCCCTCGCGCTCAGAGCTTATGGCATTTACAACTGTTAACTGCGTTGTCAGAGAACATAGAGTGGTCCATGACTGATATTCTAGGTGTTAGCAACTCTTCTCTTTGAAAATTCAGTACAACTTTTAAAATACTTGTAGAAGCACAATGGAGGTAAACAGAGTTATAAGAACATCAGATGAAACTATATTCGAACTTTCAAAATGTTTTCTGACAAATACTACGCTAATTTAATATAAACACAGTGTAATAAACTCGTAGTTATGTCATCGCGATTGAAGTAATGACGTGGGCATTATTTTAAATTTTCAGAAACCTGACCCTATTAAAGTGAATGATATCAAGATGGGTTTGTCTACAGGAACGTAAGTAGGTGGATTAACGTGATTAGAGTATACAGCATATAATGGCCTATTTTATTTTGTTTGTCATTTGCTTGTGACGCCTGCATTTCTTACGTATTTTTTACCAAGTATCTTTATACATTGTTGCCTGTGTATATAAGTCATAGTTTAAAATGCGCATGCTCATATCAAGGTCAACATATGTTTATGTAGATTGACCTTGGATATGGGCATGCGCAGTTCAGACTACGAAATACCGTAACTTATGATTCTCTGTTGTCGCATTACCTAGATAAATTCAGTCTGCTTTATGAAAATCAAACTGTCTTCCCTCCTTCAAAACCTTCTGATGCACATAAATTAATTGGTTTTTAACAATTTTAGTCATTTATGGGTGCCAAGGTTTGTGCCAAGGTTATCGTCGCTATTGATTCCTTAAAGCTAAATTGCCATTTTTGAAAAAAAAAAAGCTTTAAACATTATTAACTAATATTCATATTTTTTCGGTTATTTGTGAAACGTACCATATCCAGCTGACTGTCGGTGGCAACATAACAGTCTGAACGGATCGTCATTAAAAACGATCCGTTGCGCACATGTTGTGGCATTGTGTTCTCCATAGCATCGCGTCGGCCGACTACCGCCGGGCAGTCAATGCCCAGCTGTAACATTGGGAGTCCGACTCTCATGCACACTACATGGTGTAGGCCTATTGTTCAGGTTTAACTGATATTTATTTTATTATTTATTTGTTTTACAGTATTTATTTCCGTTGAAAATAATTGAATGAATAATGAAATATAAACGTACACCAATATACATCCAAGTTCCTCACTAATTACGTTTTCCGATTTGTTTTATGAACAGGGAGACACCCGATAAGGAGAAGGGCCTTGTTGAGGAGGCAAAGGTTGCTATGGAAACCATCCTTGAGAAGCAAAATAATGCGAATACCATCAGTGGTAATATGGTGTAAAAAGAGACAATAATTTACATATTTAAATCAATTAGATATGGTATTCCATAAAATTACAAAGCACGATGAGGATTAAGGATCCGATATATTTTTAATTGAAAAGTGGATTTAGTCGATGATAACGGATCGATTATATAAATATCTATATTTATCTATAATAGTGTCATGTAATTGTCAGTGGGTTGAAATCGTTGTACAGTAAGTTAATATACTAAGCATTTAAACCTTTTTAAACAGAATCACGAACACTCAGAGTTAGATAATGTATAGTCAATATTTATAACCGTATGCGTTTGAAGGACGTCATGTTTAATCTGTGTTCTATTTTCTCTATGATCTAACCATAAACATGAAACGTCGGACGCAATGACAATGCTTTTAGCTGAATTTGAGGCAAGTCATAATGTGCTTGGGTTTTTTCCAGTTTATTTACTCGTCTCTCACTCTCAGCCTAGTAGTCTAGTTAGGCCCTACTTGTTTGGTTGCGGTGAATGATGATAATAATTGGCCCGTGCTAAATTAATAGTTAAATGGACATGAATACTTTCCATGGAGCAGAAGAGTGTGAACGTGGTACATGACCGTATCAATGTCTAGTAAACATGACGTGACATTTTCCTATGCACATGTACACAACTCTAATAATATTATTAGTACAGTATATTAATTATGATAGTTATGATAGTTATATATAATAACTATCATAACTAATATACTAATAATATTAGTAGTATATTAATTATGATAGTTATTACCGTATATATAATGCGAAACTAGCCATGATAAATAGTTTAGTATGATAAGTAAATAGTATAGTATACAATATTATAATTTTACATCTTGAGAATAATATATTTATTTTAAAATTAAATAGGCAATGTAGCATGTGTTTTTGTTGTACGTTTAACTTGAAAACTATTGCGATATACATATTTCTTGAGGTAACTATTATACATTTTGAAACTAGTGCATATTTAACAAGTATTTTTTTCTTCAACATTGTTTACCAACAATAACATCATTAATCATATACATAATCAATTTGCCAATAGTAAAGCATATGAATGAGAAATATGAAAATTAAAGTCACAAGTTTGTTTAGAACAAAATAATAGTTATTGAAATTAATGGTTTGGATCAGGTCTAGAAGCGTCATATTTCATATTTTAGTTTTCCGTACCGTTTTAATAAGATAACTCTTCTTGTAGCCTGTAATATTTCAGTGTGGTATAGGCCTATAATGGGTGATACGAATGCTGTTTGTCAATAAGTCGGTGAAAATATTGTTTTCAATGGTCGTGCTAGAGCCGAGAAGCTTAATGAATTTTATTCCTTGCTGCTAGAATAAGATGTTGAATTGTTGCGTCATCCAACTTCGTTAGTACAATAATCATTCAGTAGAGTTTAGCTGTAGGTACTATTGCAAATTGCTTTCGTAGGTCTGTCGTACTTTTTAGCTAAGCTCTAGGCTCTAGCTTTTCAATATTTGTTATTGACATTGATAAGTTCAGTAAATGCTTTTTCAGAGATGTACGTTAATTCCATATTTAAAACATTTTTAACAATTGATCATCTTAATCATCCGTATAACAGTCCTGAAACAATTGAGTAAAAACAATGGACCTGTGGAAAGCCCTCCCCGCATTATTTTATTATCTTGGTAGACAAGACAGTGTGAACATTAATGGACTGTAATAAAATCCTACAACCAGACACAGTTTATGTACAGCATGGTCTTTGAAAGTATAAAACAATTGCCCAGCAATATTGAATCTGCTATTTGAGTAGGCATACAGTATAGTATATAGGCTTCTTTTTGTGTAACATTTATGTTGCGCAGCGCCTTGTAAGGCGTCACAGCATGCGCTACAGGAGGCGATCGCGTCACGAAAAAATTCCCTATTTTTTGCTTTTCCATCTTGGGATCTCTGATATAGGCTTAGATATGACATGTGTTATAGCCATGTATGCCCCTATAGTAAGTATTGATTCTGAAGGATATAAGCGTTTAGAAATGCTTGGAGACAAATTATGATTACACAGTTAACTTACACTTCTATAATTACAAATTGTTATGAGAAAAAAAATCCCTGTCAATTAACAGACAGCGAATTTGCTGTATTCTTTTTCATTATTCATTGGCTGGTATTAAGCATTTTTTTGTAGAACCGTCTATAAATCAATGAAAGCTATTTTTACTTTCATCTGATTTTGATCGTTTTAAATAAACTATTCAATTTTTTAATTGGGTAGACAACCTTTAAACAGTACGTCATATAATGTGTATAGAATATTATATAATATAAATGAAATTACATCTATGACTATTATTTTTATTCATATTGAATATGAACAAATTGTTTGCAAGAAATATACATTAAAACAACACATATTGTCTTAATACCTGTGTCTCAGTATTTCAAACGTTTACAGTATATAATTCAGCGTCAGGAGAGCATAGTTAGTAGTGGCCTATTGCTATACTTTACACTATTCAATTAACTGACCAGATTCAACCCTGCTTTTCAACTTTCAAAGATAATGCTGCACGTAAACAGTGTCCATTGGCATACGGATATTATAATTACAATACTATAATACGATAGTTTAATCATTTTTTCACTGTGTCGATCGACTACCAAGAGATTTTGGCCTATTCAACGCGCAGCAAACACTGCTTTTTTCGCGACTCGCGAGGGTGGAAGTTTTGCATAGATATTCATGTTATCAGTTCGCCTAAATTACCTTAAATAGCGCCCTCTATAACTTCTGCCTTAACTGTATGTGGAAAAAACTAATGCGCCCTGCCCCTGGATATTGATGCTAGGTTCCCACAAAACGAGTGTAAAACATATGCGAACATGTACTATGGGAACACGAGTGCTTGGAGACGCGTGCGTATTCATGGCTCCCTTCTGATAGGTCAGTAATGTTACTGACACTGGAAAATGTCCATTTTACCATCTACAGATTTTTATACGTTAGGTTTTCACTCTGGCACTAAGGGTGTATAGAGTATCTGTTTATATTTATTGTTTGTATTTGTATTGTTGAACACAATTATTACAGTTTTGTTTCATTATTTTTTATGCTTTTTTTTATTGTTATTTATGAGGGCAATTATTGTAAGCTTATAATTATTTTTTATTATTATTATGTCTATTATTGATTGAAGGTTGACACGTAGGCTACAATCATGTATGTTTTAACTTTCAATCAATTATATAATTAATAGCATATATGAGCTTGCAATTGAATATGCCAGTTATTATAAATGTAATTAATTATAATTAACATTTGTTATATAATTCATATATCGTACACTAAATATGTAATCAAGATTATTAGCAATCATTTACGTCTCATGCAGGTAGTGAGTATGTGAATAAAACACACAATAAATCCGATGTTGACTGGTTAACTAACATTTTTTTTAATTAAGTCTGCAACAACGTATAGCAACACAGAGATAATATTAACGTAAATTATTAAAAATACATAATAAATCCTTCATACTGTACATTTCTACTGTGCCATAAAACCTTGTCTTGAAATATAACACAATTATTATTACTGATACCATGTACCCTAGGTCCATGCTGATACTGTAAAGTAGAAACCCAGTTATGTATTGCTGACACATGCTTTAATTGCAACCCATCTTAAAAGTTCATCTTCAATATTTTTTATATCTAGAACTACGTAGCAAGACAGAGAGAACATTAGGCCTAACGTAAATCATTATAAAACACTGTAAGTTCTTCATACTGTACATTTCTTAAAACTATGTTGAAATATAACACAATTAACACTGATACCGTAAAACTTCTAATAGAAACCCAGTACTCTACTATTGACTTTATCAGCACTTTATAATGTTCATCTTTAATAATGACCCATTACGCTAATGTAGTGGTGTTAATATTTGACTGCCTAAAAAATACAGAATTACAAATTGACAATGAAATCAACATTTTGCTTTACATGTGGCTTTTGTTTCTTCAACAATAAATCGATGTAAAAATAACGCCTACCAGCGATTTGTTTTGAGTAACTTAAATAGTTACATGTGGTGTTGGCACAAGAAAAATGGGTGGGTTATTATTGTCTAATATCTAATTTATTCTTAACAATAGTGACCCAGGATTTATATTAGAGGTTTTACAGTATCACCATTGAGCTTTGATTGATTAAATCAATAGGAATCATAGGAACACTAGTAAGTTGAAGCATTGTGTGATGTGCCCATATATGGGCATGACGTCATATTACAAAAAAAAAATATGGACATACAAAATTTGATAGTGTAAACAGAGCCTTACAGTGTTGATAACACGAACGAATTCAATTTGGTCTTCTTATGGTAATCAATTAAAACCTGGATGAAAAGTATAACAATCGTACTACTGTAGTCATTCCTAACTTTGTTGAAACGTCATTCGCAAGGTATTATAACTCTTATACTGCCCTCTTCTACAATTAATTAAAACTTTGATATGCCTCATAAAATAAAAAAATAAAAAAACTCAAATCAACTAAATCATTGAATTTACTCTTCTTTTAAACAAAATAATTTTAATGTTCGTACAAATTACTATTCCGGTTTTTCTTCTTTTTTTTTTAAATTATCATGAAGGCACTTGAATAATCATTGAAACAAAAGAAACACTGTCTCCTAATTATTCTGGAATGCCGTTCATTGACATATTGTACATTAGACTATTATAATCGCACTTTTTACGGACTGTTCTTTTACAAACTACAATGGTACTTCAGAACACCGTATTGACACGTTTTTAATAACGTATTTAGTAATGTTTCACTAACAGTTTACTAGAACCCAAGCCGAAAAATGCCACTTGCCTTGGCATTTCTGAAGTTAGTGCAATACCATGTGGGTTCATCAATCTATTGATGTTCTCATGAATTGTCTTCATATGGCTACCATTTTCGTCCAGCAGCTGAAGGTCATGATCACCTGTGATAACCATTTTGCCATCTTGATGAATCAGAAGACGCCGTGGCATAACCATGAATCCTTTACTTTTTGTGTATTTCCATGACCTAATAAATTCGCCATCATTGTCAAAAATTTGTATGCTACAGTTGTCATTGTCTGAAATCAACAGGTTTCCATCGATATTGATTACTGCAAACGTTGGTTGCTTTAATTCTCCAGCAGATTTACCAGAGACTATGATCTTTATTAAATCTCCAGAAAAACTGTACTTGAACACACAACTTTTAAAATGATCAACGACAAAAATGTGATTAGTGTTTTCGTCGACGGTAACACTGAATGGCAATATTAATTCTGTGCTACCAAATGTGCTGGAAATGCCTTGACCAAATCGGGGAAGAACAAGTATTTCACGTTTTGCCTTGTCTAAAAGGACAATCCTGCCATCTTTACAAGAACAAATGCAACTTATCTGGCGTTGTTCATCTTGGAGAAAAATCCTTGTCAGGAATGTACCAGTAGTAGTTATCTGAAGGATCTCATTAGAATTGTTGCAAAGAAGAACACTGCCGCATGAATAGCTTGCTAAGCCGGTGAGATTTCCTGGGTTATTGTTTCCCCAAAGCGACTTTGTCTCAATATGTTTAATAGCTTCCTCTTTAACAGCATCAATTAGTACTTCTATGTCACGGATTATGTACCCATTAACGGCGATATCTAGGGTCCACAAACCGGCAACATTGCACACACCAGTCACAAGGTAAGAACCGTCATCGAGTTTAACAGTTTCAGATTTCCTTTGTTGATCTTTCGGATTTCGAAGAATTCCACAAACGTCTTGTTTTTCAACCACAATTTTGTGTCCTTCAGCATTAATTGCTGATACTATAGTCTTAAATGTTTGTCCAACTGACAATTTGATAAGACCTTTGTCAACCGCCCAATCAATAACATGTATATCCAATGCCGCAATGATTGTATCTGCATTAATCATAATTTGTAACTTCCAAATCCCGACCTCAAAGCATTTCCCTTTGACGTAATAAAATCCCTTTGATGTATTCATTACATCAACTTTATTATCCTCGAAACTGTTACTGTTTAAAACAGCCGTAAAGTTTCCTTTAGCTTCACCAACTGTCTCTCCATTAGAGTCGATAGCTATTAGCTGTCTCTGAAATGGTTCACCCCGTGTAAGGACAATGTAATCATCATCCAACTTCCATTTGAAGACATTGATACTGTGAATAGGTGAAATTACCATTTCATCAGCAATAACTTTCAATGACCACAAACCAACGATATTGAAATTACCTTTGATAACGAACACACCCCAGTCTAATGGCTTCACTTGGAGGTCTACAACCTGACCTGTGGGACTCATTACCTGTGATTTCAATGCTGTGTTAGTATGTACTATATTTCCGTGTACGTCAGATGCCTGGACCCTGAAATCAAAATCTTCTCCGCATGTTAGGGAGGACAGAGCATCAACAGTCCACTCTATTATGTTAATATGAACTCTCTGAAGAGGCCAGTTAAATACACTTGCCCTTACGAGCCATTCCCCTAAACTATCACACTTTAAAGTTAATCGATACGTTCTTTTGTCTATTTTTACTGCGCGTAGTGTGTTTGCGTGCCCGTCTGGATTTTCCAATGCTATGTCCATCGCTGGTTCATTTTCTGGATCGCGTAAAGGAGATGCAGTGGTTGCTACGACAGTTATCTGAAAACATTGCTCAAGTTGTTTAATTGTATCTGTTATGTCAAAACACCAATCCAACATGTAGATATCAACACAAGTAATATTCTCAATTTCATTTCGGAATGAAATCTTCCAGTGACCTGGTTCACCTAGCAGTGTAGTTTTGACCTCATATGAGCCATCACCACGTAAGACGTTCAGATTGATGATATCATCAGTCGGGGAGATCAGGTCTGCGATAAAATTATCCTGAACATTTGGAAAAATGATGCCACAATCATCAGTGGCTTGGAGATTTATATAGAATTGTTCTCCCTTAGATACGACATAGTCGTTTTTGGGTGTTACCCAGCGAACCACTGTGATCTCGGGCACGTCAGGAATTTGTAGATTAAATACATAGACTTTAACTGAGTATTTTCCATTATCATTACAAGAAGCTATGATATCATATGAGCCATCATTCCTGTCCAATACATCTGCTTCTACCTGTTTCCCTGTATGATGTTTGAAAATAGCTCTGACATCGGCGCCTCCTATTGTTACGGCATTTCCATCGATGTCGTTGGTCTGTAAATAAAATTTTGACATACGACCACACGTAATGATATCACTAGTGACAGCATAGAGCTTACACTTTCTTGCAATCGAATCATTCAGGCACACAATGTCAGGCACTATCTGGAGATTGTCAATCAAGTTATCATCTGCTAATGAAACTCTCATGTGCTGGTTAATGACTGGTTCAAGGCTATTTGCCTTGTCATTCTCCGACTGCAATGTGCGTACAATCTTAGCGCAGGCATCCATAACTAACGCTGGGTTGTCAACTTCAGTCAAGTGGTCCATAATTTCTAAAGATTTGGTCAGGTTTTTTCCAGATTTAGACAGATGCATAACTTGTGTATCTGCTTGCGATACCTTACTCTCATACTCTGCTTCTAGTTGGTTCTTAATACTTTGTATTACTTGATTTACCTCACTCAACAGTATAGGTTCAATGTCAGCCAAACTATCAAGACACGTTTTTTTGTTCTTTTCTAAAAAGTGTTCTACTTCTTCAATCTCTGATAAGGCTTTGTCCACTTTTATGATGTTTGCTTCTGTCAGTTCTTTTACTTGCTCAGCCTGGTTCACTAAGTGTTGAAATGATGCCTTAATGTCTTCAACGTCATGGAAATCATGGCCGGTACATGCCTTACACATCGATTGCTCACATGTGATGCAGTAAAGTTCAATCGGAAGAACATGAGATGAGCAATTTATTACTTCTGCTTCCTTAACAGCAAACTGATCTTTAGTTAGCAACTCCTTTAATGAACAGGTTGTATGTTTGCATGTTGAAGGAATCTTGTTGTGAATCTTCAAACATCCCTGACAATAAAATTCATCACAGTCTACACAATGGGATGTAGAAATTACTTCGCTGGTGCAAGAAGGACACCTTGGGCCATCTGCAGCCTGCTTGAGCGTCTTAAACACTTTCAAAAGGTGTCGTACGTATGGTGCACACTCCAAATGTTCAGGGCTTGTATGTCTATCACATATGGTGCAGACATCCATTTCATCATGGTATTCTGGTGAATTTGAAATACATCTTGAGCAAAACGTGTGTCCACAACTTAAAGTTCTTGGGTTTTTGAATACATCGTTACATGTTGGGCATGTCAGTCGACTTTTGTTTCTATCCATTGTTATTACAGCATAGATTTCTTGTTTTAGCAACTAGACGCACGAACTTTCTGAAAAAAATGAAAACAGAAAAACCTATTTTTCTGAAGGATTGTATACCAAATAATATTATTTTACATTGTACCATGCAAATGGTTCATGCAAGTTTGCCAATTTTCGAAATAAGTACTGTATAGAATACTTGTAATGCGCATCAATCAATCAATCAATCAATTATTGACAGTACATATATACATATACATACATATATACATATACATACATATATACATATACATACATATATATACATACATATACATATATATATACATACATATACATATAATGTTTGTAGGTTCCACGTATGTCTTGATTATATAAAATGAGTACGAATGCACAAAGTAGAGTCGTATACGTTGACATAATAGACATAAGATAATTTTTTATTTCGAATATTTCGAGCACGCCCGACGTTTCAAAGGCTTCTTTAATCAATTTTAGAGTCCCCCGACCCCTTTTCTTTTTGGGGTTAGATTAATTGAAAAAAAATACGTAGGCCTATCAGGGACGTATTCTGGGGAGGGGGAGCTGTGGGAGCTGTGGGAGCTGTGGCTTCCCCTTTTCAACACGGTGTTAACATTTTAAAGCTTGTTCATGCTAGCCAATACAAATTCTTTCCTGGGATCACTCAAAATGAATACTTCTAAAATATGTAAATATACGTCAGCACACGTTATACATATACCTAATAGGCCTACAATAGTTAAAACACATAGGCCTAAGCGTGATTTTTTTTTTCACGCAAATTACAATACAAATTTAACATGGCATGTTATAAATCGTTTTGCTGTCCCACGCTACCGTATGTGATAGTTATAGTCAACTTTGAAGAGGCATGTCACTTTTTTGCAATAACACATTAAAGCGAAACAGGGAGTTTGGAGTTGATTTAAATGCTGTACAATTTCTAATTGACTCCTTCTACTATAGGTTTGTGACCCGTGCTCTGATAGAAACCAACCATAACCGCCTATAAATAAAAGTCACCGGCTAACCTGATAGTCACCCAGTGGAAAATTCGTTAGATTAATCGATTTTTCACTATACACGATAACGCAAAAATCTACGGTGGCCCATAAAGTGTCACGGCAACAACTTTCGAAATGTCACGGCCACATTTTCGAAATTCACGGCAACAACTTTCGAAACCACACGGCACAATTCAAAAAGTCACGACATACTTTCAAAATTCACTGCACACTTTTAAAAACCACGGTACACTTTCAAAATTCACTGCACACTTTATAAACCCACGGCACACACTTTCAAAATTCACGGCAACAACTTTTGAAATGTCACGTCAAACTTTCAAAATCACAACTTCCGCCGTGGAAAGTACAACTTCCGCCGTGAGGTTCACGGCGGACGAAGTGATTGTCTCACGGCGGAAGTGAGAGAAATTTAAATTCTTAAAACTTTTGGCCGCCGGTGGGAACATGGGAGTTGCTAAACACAACCACTTCAGCCTGGGCTACATAAGACTAGGAGACCTAGCCAATGCCCAGTCCAACTACCCGGTCACACTGTAGTATAGGCCACCTCATTCTCTTTCACGTTAAGATAGGCCTATGCAGAGTATGACCCCTGGCCTAGGTCCCTTCTCTCTATGCCTGGCTAATAAATAACTTTATGCAATTACAGTACATTACAATACAGACATAGGGAAAGTTAATATCATTAACTATTATTAACTTTCCTTCACCCCTTTCTTCTAGCATGGTAGGCCTAATATAGCCATTGCAATTTTGTTTAAAAGCAATGAAACAATAAATATGATAAATCCTATCTTCAGCAATCACACATAAATACACTCACGCATGATGATTATGAAAGGGCAAACTGGCGACGCATAATTTCAGCTGTACTACGTAATAATTTATTCCTAATCTTCAAGACAAAGAGTCCGGGCCCTGGTAAACATGAAGTTTAGACTTATGATAGTTTTTATTTTTTGACTGATTTAAAAAAAAAAATTGCTTGGACTATGCAGAATCTGTTGTAAGACCCTGGCCTAGGCACCTTCTCTAGGCCTGGCTACTGGAGAATCCTGTACTGAATATTAATTATTATTTAATAAATAACTTTTATACAATTAAAGTACAATGACATAATTATGAGAAAGGTAATATTTAATTGAATTATTATTTATTAGCTTTCCGTCATCCCTTTTCTTCTTGAATACAGCTATGGCAATTTTTTTTTTAAAAATCAGTACAAAAATAAAAACGATCATAAGCCTGAACTTCGTGTTTACCAGGGCCCACTCTTCGTCTTGCAGATTAGGAATAAATTAATAGGCCCTACATAGTACAGCTGAAATTATGCTTGTCATGTCGTAACCATAAGTAGCCACGCTCCCTCGGCTGAAGTGGTTGTTTTCAGCGTGACCACTCACAATTTTTGATATACCCAATGACTGGGTCGAAATTACCCAAGATTCAGCAAAAATTGCCCAAAATTACACAAGCTTCCTGAAATGCATTAAAATTTGAAAAATACGTGTTTTTGCATGTATAGTTTCCCTTTTAGCTCAATTTATAAACCAATTTTTATATTGTAATTGTTTGTATAGGCCTTTCACCGCAAATAAGCGGGGAAGCACGTGTGGGAAGGGGAAATTTATTGTGTACTTGTGTGTAGTTTTTAAATTTTAGCTGTGTAATTTGTAATTGTTTTGAATATAGGGTTATGGTGCATTTTGTATTACATTATTTATGTTAGGGAGGGGAAGAACCTTAATTATTAGTTCTGTAAGTTTTCTTATGCTTGGTAATTTTTTTGTATTTGGTTTTATCATTTTTAGTCTAAGTATGTTTTTGTTTTCATGGATGCACCTTCTTCTTTTGAAGTGTGCCACTGTTTCAAAAGTGTATATCCAAATAAATAAATAAATATAAACGGATAGAAAATACGCCCTCAGTCGGCCCGTGTTATCAGTAGATCAGTGATCAAGTTTTATTATGTAATGCATTAATTAGATAAGGTCAATGGCAACGCAAATCACAAATAAACAATTCTGAACCCATGCAATTAGCAATTAACAGTCAATTAACAATGTTATGTGCACTTCGTTGAGTTTTGCTTACTTGAATAGACTGAAATATACTTTGTTACTTCTTAATTCTTCCTCTATGACAAAAATATTTAATTTTCTCAGAAAAAATAAAATACCCAAGGATTTGAACGGAATACCCAAGACCAAATCAAAATACCCAAGACTTTGGGTAAATACCCAAGCAGTGGTTGTTTTAGTTTTAAAAACAAAGGTGGGGGGGGGGGGCTGGTAATCACACGGCATAGCAAAATACAGTACCGTACAGACAGTAAGACAAAATAATAAGTTAGCTAGTCTATGTCCCTGTTTTTTGTTTTTGTTTTGTTTAGTTTTTATTTTAAATTAGGATCCCTGGAATATCGTCTATGTAAACATTAAAGTAATTAGAGGCCTATAGCTTGGCTTATTTTATGGGTAGGGAGGCCGTAATCATAGGAGAAAAAAACAATAATGGCCTAATCAGGATACTTCACGGGCTACTACAATAAAATACTCAGTCTATGAATTTTATGTTTATGTGTGATTGCTGAGATTAAGATTTATCATTTTGTTTCATTGCTTTTAAACAAAATTGCCATGGCATAGGCCTATATTCTAGAAAGGGGTGATGGAAAGTTAATAATAATTAATGATATTAACTTTTCCCATGTCTGTATTGTAATTGCATAAAAGTTATTTATTAATAATATTAATTAATAATTCAGTAGGCTACAATTCAGTATAGAGAGAAGGGGCCTAGGTCAGGGTCATATTCTGCATAGGCCTAGCTTAACGTGAAAGAGAATGAGGCCTAGGCTACGGTGTGACCGGGTAGCTGGACTGGGCATTGGCTAGGTCTCCTAGTCCGACATATGTAGCCCAGGCTGAAGTGGTTGTATTTTAGCAACTCCCATGTTCCCACTGACGGCCAAAATTTTTAAGAATTTAAAATTCTATCACTTCCGCCGTGAGACAGTCACTTCCGCCATGAACCTCACGGAGGAAGTTGTACTTTCCACGGCGGAAGTTGTGATTTTGAAAGTTTGGCGTGATATTTCAAGGGTTGTTGCCGTAAATTTTGAAAGTGTGGCGTGGGTTCATAAAGTGTGCAGTGAATTTTAAAAGTGTGCCGTGGTTTTCAAAAGTATTAAAGATAGTCCGTACCATGGTGCTATGCTCTAGAAAATTACTTTTGAAGATATATTTCTAAAGCAATTGTAATGTCGACACGCACGTTATTGTTTGGTTCTTTAAAGCTGTTTAACTTATTTTTATTTTGTTGATTTGAATGACGTTGTGTAAATATATTTCATCAATACGTTTTAGTTTCACATCGCTGAAAATAGTGCAGATGAATGTTCTGTTGGCGTCAATATTTGTTTAAAGTTTCAATAACCACAACTAGTTTTATGTACTCAACCGCAATCTACTTCATTTCTGATCCGCTTCTCTGCTTGAGGGCAAGAGGATTGTTTTCCAAATCTTTTCTGAATTTTGTGTAGGTGAATAAGTTGTTTGGAAGCGAAGTATGGCGGCTTAAAAGTTGGTGAATTTATATACGTTTCTCGTAGAATGGCCTTCATAAAATTACTAAATTTTAGGGTTTAGAGTTGAAATATTGAACCCAAACTTCAAAAATAGTTAGATTAAAGGTAATACTTTATATTTATGACATAATCACATTTTGCTCATATTACATGTTATACTGTCCATTTGGCCCTTTTTCTCGATGCGATGGTGATGCGAGTTTACAGCCCTTTTGTGGTCTTTGTTCACATTTATGATGTGTCTATTGCAATTTTTTACTTTATCCTCTCAAAACACATCTACACACATACACATATATATAGACATATATATATACACATATATATACATATATACACTATACATATACACTATATATACACACTATATATATAAATATATACACTATATATACACACACATATATATAGGCCTAAATATATATAC